TCAGATGTTCGACACCAGCCTGACCAACATGGTAAAACCTCATCTTGAATTTTAAAAATACAAAAATTAGCCAGGCATGGTGGCACACGCCTGTAATCCCAGCTACTTGGGAGGCTGAGGTGGGAGAATCACTTGAACCTGGGAGGCGGAAGCTGCAGTGAGCCAAGATCACGCCACTGTACTCCATCCTGGGCAACAGAGCAAGATTCCATCTCACAAAAGAAAAAAAGAAAAAAAAAAAGAAAGAATGTGGTTTTTTAGTCACAAACTAGGAGTTCTCAGAGTCCTACTTATTGGAAAACTCACACATACACTGGGGAGAGGGGAGTGGTGCTTCGGCTGAGCTCTAAAAAGCAGTAATTTTTCATTTAGAAAAGAACATTGTATGAGCAGAAGACGAGTCATTATGATATTTAACTCAGGAACAGTCTTATTTCATATTCTGGCAGGACTCAAGGGGACAGAACCTGAAATGAAGAATAAAGGAGAGAAACAAAAGCTCTCCGAAGGTTAACTTGTGGTTTGTCCTTTCTGTCCAAACAGGTGGGTGCCTGGGAGGCCTTCCTTTTTCTGTTCTACATCACTCTTTCCTTTGCTATCTGTTCTCTAATATACATATACTCCTACCTCTGTACCTACCCCACCTTCACCCCCAAGCCTGAGGCTGCAGCCTGTCAAGGCCCTTCAATGTCACAGCCAGTGAGACCACCTTTCTTATAAGCCAATCATGACAAAAAGTAACTTGTCCCTTGGTCAATGCTGAACCCACAAGAATGAATCCACAGTTATTTGTGCCTTATGGTTAGGCCTTACAGATTCTTACAATCTAAACAATAGATAAATCTCTTGCTAATATCGAATGTCTCGTACAGCATAAATTTGAGGTTTCATTATGCGAAAAGGCTCTACCAACAATGCTGATACAAAGCAAGCATAAGAGGAGGACTAAGGACCCTGTCCTGCCACAAATGTACAGTCATAACTCTACAACAGGGCAGCAACCTTGCAAATGTAGGAGTCAAGGAAATACTCACCTTCCTCCTGGTGAGTTTAGGCTGTATCATCTCTGAGAATTAATATTTGTCCTTGGGATGTTTATGTGGACATCCAAGTAAAGAGTTACCAGCTAGACACTTGGAAAACTAAGGAGGAGACTCTGCAAGTCACCTGATAAGGAGAACTTGAACTTGAATGGGAACAGACTTAAGTATGCCTACCCTGAGCTGCTCTGCAAAACTTGGAGTGCCAAGGCCACTGTGAACTATCCTATTAGAAGTGTCTGTGGCATTATTCTAGAATGAATAACTTAGACTTGAGGAATGCAGTGCTGAAGAAACATTGTCAGGGTATAGGGAAGGATTCTAAGGCAAGAACAACTCTTATGAATGAGGTTGCCATTTCTCAGAAGATAAGTAGGAGTCACCCAATAGAGTGGAAAGAGGAGTGGGATTAGAACTGGTAACACTCAGTGAGGGGAACCCCATAAAGTGCTTAACTTCGTGGTAGCTCACGCCTGTAATCCCAGTACTTTGGGAGTCCAAGGTAGGTAGATCACTTAAGGTCAGGAGTTCGAGACCAGCCTGGTCAACGTAGCAAAACCCGTCTCTAATAAAAATACAAAAAAATTAGCCAGACTTGGTGGCACAACCTGTAGTCCCAGCTACTCAGGAGGCTGAGGCACCTGGGAGGCAGAGGTTGCAGTGAGCCGAGATCATGCCACTGCACTGGGGCTTGGGTGACAGAGTGAGACTCTGTCTCAAGAAAAAAAAAATTTTTTTAACTCCTTAGTGCTGTCTCTTGGAGTATGGGAGAAGTCGTATTAGCATATAGTTTAAATTTTTTCTTTTCAAAATTGGAAGTCCCTTTAGTCACCCCAAATATATAATAAAATCTGGTAATCTCATACATGCTCGCATGGTCTTGTGAAGCAACCAGGCTTTAAAGCAAAGGATAGTTTACCCCAAACTCATCACCTCATGGGGTTTACACAGGGCCCAGCATCTATCAAAGAGACTGTTCTAGAATATGACCATCAAGAAAGGGAGCTGTCATTCCCATTGAACCTGGAAATGATGAAGAGAAGCACTGGATACTGGCCACTAAAAGCCAGCTTCCCAGCTCAAGAGCAGCCTGATTTAAACCCTCCATGGGAGGCCAGCTGATGATTACACTACAAATCTCTACTGGAGCCTAATTTGATAAATTCATTTTCTTAAATCCATTTTATCTAGATTTTTAAAATCATTGACATAGTTACACAAATGGCTCTCTACAATTATTTTAATTTCCACTGTATTATGGCTATTTTCCATGTATCATTCCCAAACTTGTATAGATTTCTTTTCTCTTTTTAAAATTGATTTGGCTAACTAACAGTTTATTTTATTGATTTTGTTTTCTAAATGTATTTCTATCCTTCCTACTCCTGCCAGACACACACACACAAGAACTGAATTTTTTTAAACAATTTTATACAAGTTTCTAACTTATTATATTTTCTCCTCATCATTTTAAAATTCTCACTCCTTTTATTCTAATCTTTTTTTTAGCAAATCATTTGAAGATAAATGAATAGGAAATTTATGTTTAATCTTCTTCATTTAAGTAATGAAAATGTTAAAGACTAGGAATTTTCCTCGAGTTATACTTGGTCATACATCACAGATTTTGCTCATAATATTCCCACTATCTCTGTTTTCAATGCATTCTTAATCACAGAGTTGAAATTCCCTCCATATTTCAGAGTAAATGAGAAGAATTTTTTCCAAGAAGTTAAAGTATTTCTGTCTTCCATCTTTTGTTATTTATTTCAGTTGTATTGTACTATGGTCAGAAAATCCTGCCATAATAGATCAACATTTCAAAACACGTACTGAGCTTTGCTTTTTGATCAATACAGTCAATTTTTTTTGATGTTTCATGGGCATTTGAAAACAAAGTATATTTTCTATTCTCAAAGCGCTCTCTCTCTCTCTCTCTCTCTCTCTCTCTCTCTCTCTCTCTGTGTGTGTGTGTGTGTGTGTGTGTGTGTGTATGTGTGTGTTTCAATATAGATAGATAGGTATGACAACCTTATTAATTGTTTTGTTCTCGGAACACAATGTTAAGAGCTCAAGCCTGCTGTCAAGCAAACCTGGGTTCAACACTTTCCGTGCGATCTTCAGCATATCATTAACTGCTCCAAATCCATTATCATTGGTGTAATATCCCAATAACTGCGTAGCTTTGTACACATTTCTTTCTGATGTTTAATAGAGTCCAAATAGTGAGCCTGTAGGAATTCCTGTTACAATCTCCTGTCTTCCATTATGCTGTAATGCCTTGAACTCCCAGAATATTCTTCCTCTTCTATGCCCATAAAAATTCTCTGGCTTGGCACGGTGGCTTGCACCTGTAATCCCAGCACTTTGGGAGGCCGAGGCGGGTGGATCACCTGAGGTCAGGAGTTTGAGACCAGCCTGACTAACATGGTGAAACCCCATCTCTACCAAAAATATAAAAAATACCTGGGTGTGGTGGCAGGCACCTGTAATCCCAGCTATTCAGGAGGCTGAGGCAGGAGAATCACTTGAACCGCGAGGCAGAGGTTGCAGTGAGCCAAGATTGCACAATTGCACTTCAGCCTAAACAACAAGAGCGAAACTCCAGCTCAAAAAAAAGAAAATAAAATCTTTTGGAGTTTTCTTTTTTTTTGAGACGGAGTCTCATTCTGTCACCCAGGCACTGTTCTCGGTTCACTGCAACCTCCGCCTCCCGGGTTCAAGTAATTCTCATGCCTCAGCCCCTGGAGTAGCTAGGATTACAGGCACATGCCATCACATCCAGCTAATTTTTTATATTTTTGGTAGAGAAGGGGTTTCACCATGTTGGCCAGGATAGTCTTGAACACCTGACCTAAAGTGATCCACCCACCTGGGCAAAGTACTGGGATTACAGGCACGAGCCACTGTGCACAGCCAAAATTCCCCTATTCTGACATCTTGGGCTTCCCAAGCCCTCTGTCCTCTACTCATTCCCATCTCTATGTGTCAAGCTCCAGACATAGGGCCTTGAGCCGTTGTCTCTCATCCTGAGCGAATGCCACTTGTCTTCAGTCCTAGTGCTTGAGAATCCATCCTCTGCTTTTCCGTATCCATTCCTTGTCTATTTTCTCCTCAAAGAACAGACAAAGTAGCAGAGAAAATTGTAACAAACTCTCCACCTTAATAAAAGTGATCACAGCTATTTTTAAGTCTCATTATCTGCCTCACATGTGTCAAACCTTAGAATTCCAAAGAGGCACATAAGTCATCCAACCACCATAGTCCGTAGCATTCAGAAGGGGGAATTATACAAGGTTACTAAGCTGCTCGGTTAACTTGTCCCAACGCAGTTTCCTCTCCACTGTTTTATCCTGAACTTCTTGGGAATTTCCTGACTACATCATTTGTAATAGCTTCTTCTTAATGCACACAAATCAATTCCCTTTAGTTTTTCCCTAAATTTCCTAGTTCAGTTGACCAGATTAAAAAAATGTTTAGAAGACTCTGCCTGCTATTGCTCCCTTCATCCCCCAGCTACCCACCTTTACAACCCCTCCTCGTTGCTTCAGAAAAGAGCAAATCCAGAGTTGACCTCATTCTAGAATCTGAGGAACACATTAGCTACTTCAGAAAAACAGAAACTCTTCACAACACCAGGACTGGGAAGAGGTGGCTGAAGAAAGAGGAAAATCCTTGCACAAAGAACTACCTGATAGGCACGAAAGCCTGCTCTGAGAACCATTTCATCTAGGTCTTACCATCAAAAAGCACTTTTTTCCCCCTCATGGAAACCACAAAGGTCTGAATCTGACCCAGGTCACCTATCTTTGTCTAATCGTGGAAAGGAATCTTGACTTGAAACTGTCCAAGAGCTCAGACCAATCCAGTAGTGAGAGAATAGGTGGCCAGGGTGCCTACTGATGGGAGGAGCTCCTGAGCCCAGCCCTGGAGGCCTCAGAGTTCAGGGGCCCACTCAGATGATGCCAGAAAGCAAGAGAGAGGAACTGGGGTTTGCGAACCTTGTGGCTTTGTCTGTTTCCTGTTTCAGCAAGGCTGTTGCACAATAAGAAAGACGGTACCAAGAAGGGACGCATTAATGGGACCCAGACCTATGGATTGAAAGTACGTGCTTTACCCATCTGCTGTCTTGCTCCATCTGAGACCAGAGCCAAGATCTGCCTGCCCAGGAACTGGAATGCTTTCCTGAGTGGCTTGAGTTGGAGCCGGGGACTCGGAGGTAACTGAGAAGGAAGATGCTTTTGTGTCTAGGTTTGGGAACTCCGACTTGGGGGTGGGGCAGAAGACACTCTACCATCCCAGCTCCCCTGAGTGAAGAGACTGTGGGTGGCATAGTTTAAGGGTGTCGGGGAGTTGGGTAACCAAGAAAGCATCCTGTGTTGGTTTCCTGTCGCGTTAGCCATGGCACAGGGTACAGCTTCCACCATTCCTCTGTTCCAGCAGATTAGATTGGATTGGATTGGATTGGATTGGATTGGATTAGATTAGAAGTCAGATGACTTAGACTTCAGGCTACCCAGTGATATGGGCATGAATTAAATGACCTTTTACAGTTTCCTTCAAAGCCGGGATCCCTGAACAGAAGGCTGCCTTCCCAGCAGCTTAGGTGCAGGCCCCTCTCCCCTCAGTTCACACTGAGAGCTCTGGGCTAAGAAGGCCAACCCATGCAGGAAGCCATTCACTGTCTCTGTTGCACACATGGCCAGGAAGTAGAAGCAGAGACTCTGAAAGGCATGACAAGCCACAGTCAGGTGAGAAGCCATGCCCTGTTCTCTCTCTGCAGCCTGAGAAATCAGGCTGAGCCTCCCCAGCCAGGAGCCCTTCTTCCTCCAAGCTCCAAGTGAACCCAGTCATGCTACCAGGAGGGAACCTCAGAGATGCCAGAAAGCCTGGGCAGTGGCCCAGTGATCTTTCTTTGAACCCTACAGGGACCAGTTCCCTTTTCTTCAGCAGCCTATCCCTGTCAGCCATCCCACATGCCTTCTTGTTTTTAAGCAAGTCAGTAGGGTCCAGACATCCCGGAAACCTGGGTAGGGTTCTATGCAGCATACCACACCACGTCCTCGCAGGTGTGGTAGCCCAGGCCTCTGGGAACACTCTCCTCTCTAAGGAGCCATTTCCACTGCAGCTCCTTTCTTGGGTAAGTAGACCCAATGTCTGCCCTGAGGAAGCAGACAGCAGCTGTGTGTTTCGGTGGACAAAGGTGGGTGGCCTGGGTGGAGAGCCCAGAGAGACCTCATTTCAGGCCTTGTCTTCTCCCCCATAACCCTTTCCTCTTCAAGGCAAGAAGGTAGGAGGATTCTCAGTGTTCTGCCTCTACTACAAAACCTGCAGGGAAGCTGGAGCCAAACAGGGAGGGGACCTCATGCCCTATGTGTGATGCAGGCAGACCCCACCTTTCCTTGCCTTTCTGCTTGGTATAATTAGGACGGCAATTATGTCCAGACCACAGAGAAGCCCTTTCTCCTTATAGCCCAAACCCAGAGGTCAGAGGAACCAGAGAAGTAAATGTGACTTCAACCTGGGGCCAGGATCCCCTCAATCTGGTAAACAATGTACTCCACCAAAGAGAGAGGGTTGAGAGAGACATGACAGAAGGCATTCTTGGTCCTAGGAGTGCTACTTTAGCTTGGAGCCTTGGTCTCACACCACCAAGTCTTCAATATCCAACATCGGCACATCCTTATTTGTCATTACTTTTAATGGCAAAAGCTGCAATTACTTTTGCACCAACCTAATAATAATAATTTATGTTTTTATTATTAAAAGCTAACATTTATTGTGCGCTACATGCCAGGTGCATGGCCTGCATTTTTCATTTAATCCTTATAACCTACAAGGCAGGTTCTAGCCCCATTTTATAAATGAGGAGACTGGGGCTTAGAGATATTTAGTAGCTTACCTAAAAACACACACAAGTAGTAGGTGACAGAGCCAGGGTATGAGTCCACACAGTGTGACTCCAAGAGCCAGGGCTCTCCACTGCAATCTATGGCAGAATAGCCTGGGGCTGTGGCTCAGGGATGCTGTGAGAGTAGGCTTTAGACATGGAGTTCACATGCACATAATCCTCAGTCTCCTCCATTCAGTCATTTATAACAATATACCTGGGTCTCTCAGATCCTTTTCTAAAGTCTTTAAATAAAGAAAGTGGCAGGGAGGAAGTCAAGGAGCCACCCCCTATGCCTACTCCCACCCTTATCCAAGAAGTAGGAGTGGGGAGAAACGTCTAAAGAAAGAAGAGAGCCATTCAGAATGGGTATGTAGCAGACAAACATGAACAACCTCACATTTCTGCTTGGAATCAATGCTGCCTGACACCAGAGTACGCCCCTCCAACCCTCAAGAGTCAGGCATTTGAGTGTCCATGGCTCGACCACACAAAACTCCTCTCAGAGAAGAAGACTGCCCCACCCACACCCCTGGGGAATGAGTGGTAGCGTCAGAGAGAAAACAAGAATCCTGCAGAGAATTCCCAACTCAGCCAGGATAGCAAAGTCCCGGTAAAAGGGCAGAGACGCTGCTACCTGTTGAGTCTGTTTGGCCTATAAATAAACCCCGAGGGGTTAGAGCTAGCAAATGCCTGCTTGTTGGCGAAACTGAGATACCCTCCTCCCAGGGTGGTGGGTAATGAGGTCGTGGGAGGAAGAGAAGCAGCAGCAGCTGTGAGGGGGTGTCCCTCTTCCTTCATCAGTCCCTGGTCTGACTCCAGTGATCAGAGGCGGCAGGACACAGAATTTCTAGCACTCAGGATCCAGCTCATCCAAGTCCAGCCCAACTCAGCAAAGTGACCAGAGGGTTCTAGGAGGATAAACTGCAGAAGGTAGGTGGGGGAAGAGTAGGAGAGAGAAAGGCACAGAGAAGGAAAAGGGGATCCTGGTCTGAGTGCTATGTGAATACCAGGTAAGGCCATGCAAAGGAACATCCTGTGGCCCCTACACCAAGCCTGGCTCCCTGGCAACTTCTGGTTACTGTTTTTGTTTTGTTTCTTCTCTGTATGCAGCAGGCTTATTGAGGTATAATTCATGTGTTGGTGGGTTTGGATGGCACAATCTGTGTCTGGGCTAAGGAAAGCAGAGTTGGTACCAGACTTAGCCCTGACAGGGAGGTGACCCTAAAGAAATGGAACCCCTAGCTCCAAGAGTACTGGAACCAGATGCTCCGAAATGGATTTTGGCCAGCAGTAAGCATGTGGCAGTACTGACTGGATTTGATCTGTCCCTGAAAGACAGAGCCCAGTCCTGAGCTTGAAGTGGGGGGCCCATGGACAATTGTCAGGACAGCAGGTTGGAGGAATTAGGGAAGGGTTTCCCTCCTAAACCATGCCAGGTCCAGGCTCACAAGCTAGTTGCTAAAAGTCAAGAAGAGAGCAGTGGGTACTGGTCACAGGACTGGTCACCACCTGAGGGGGGTCTGGTTATCCCTCCAGATCTTGAGAAGTGTCACTCAACTACGTTAGTAACAACTTGGACCAAGACAGCATTAAAGATACTGACTTTCCTTTTCAAATGGCGGATGAGAGGGCAGAGGGGCTCAACTTAGCTGTTTCTTTACACGTCTGGAAAATGAACACACACCTGCCATCTAAAAGGCTATAAGGTCATTGTGATTTTAATCAATTTCTCATGTTCCCCTTAGAGGCATGGTAAGATGTTCAGTCAAGGAGTAAGTGGCAGCCACAGACACTCTTTTACTTTACAAAGGGGAAACACTGGCTAGAGAAAAGCAGCAATTCGCTTTTATAAGATTGTATTAGTTCATTAGAGACTGAGCCCAGGAGTCCTGACTCCAGTGTGATACCACCATGTCCTCAGTTTTCAACCCACATGGATGGAAGTCTGTGCTATTTCTGCCCCCGGTCTAGAGAGTCATTTTTCCGCCTATCTTCTGACCCCTCCCCTTCTCCTCCCTCTTGGCATCTGGCAGATCCAGGCATCTATTCCAGGAACTGGAAGCCAAGTGCAACAGGTGCTCGGAGGTCATCATGATCAGCCCGGACCCCAGGCCCTCCCCTGGCTTGGCCCGGTGGGCTGAGAGCTATGAGGCCAAGTGTGAGCGCCGGCAAGAGACCCGTGAAAGCCGCCGCTGTCGTCCCAACGTGACCACTTGCCGCCAGGTGGGGAAGACGCTGAGGATCCAGCAGAGAGAGCAGCTCCAGAGAGCTCGATTGCAGCAGTTCTTCAGGAGGAGGAACCTGGAGTTAGAGGAGAAGGGCAAGGCACGGCGTCCCCAGGCCAGGGAGCAAGGGCCCTCCAGGCGGCCAGGCCAGGCGACTGTCCTCAAGGAGCCCTTGTCTTGTGCCAGCAAGATCTCCTCTTCCAGACAGCAGGTGGGCCGTGTCAAGGGACATAGTACTCTGTGCTCTGGGACCCTCTCTGGACAAGGCGGGTGGGTGGGCTTGAGATCACTAAAAAGTGATCTAAATTAAGTCCTTCTTCCTCAGTCATATAGTAAAGTTGCCAACAGCCACTTATTCAGAGATTTTTATTGTTGCATTTTTGTTTGTTTAGCTCTTTTTGTTCTGCACTTGACTTGCAGGAGAGAAAAAAACAATTCCAGGCTAGGCATGTTAGCTCACACCTGTAATCCCAGCACTTTGGGAAGCCAAGGTAGGAGGATCACTTGAGGCCAGGAGTTTGAGATCAGCCTGAGCAACATAGCAAGACCCTCTCTCTAGCAAAAATTTACAAATTAGCCAGGCATGGTGGTGCACACCTGTAACTAATCAGGAGGCAAAGATGGGAGAATACTTGAACCCAGGAGTTTGAAGCTTCAATAAGCTATGATGGCACCACTGCACTCCAGTCCAGGCAATAGAGGGAGACCCTGTCTCTAAAAAAACTTAAAAATAAAATAAACAAAAATAATTCAAAAGCTAATACCTATATCAGCTCAAATTTAGGCATTACACACACATCTTCTACAGCTATCTTACAGCATTCATTCACCCATCAGTCATCAAACATTTAATGAAAGCTTATTATATGCCAAGTATACAAGCCAATCCTCTTGACACACACACAGACATATCTGTCCTCTTTTCTTCTGCAAGGCTGTTGTACCCACTCTTCTCTTCTTCTCTTGTGTCGTTCCAATTCTATTAAATCACTCAGCTACAACCTCATCTGGTCCAGGAAGCCTTCCCTGGCTTCTCCAGGCCACCTTTGCTGTCTTCTAAGATTGTGTAACCCTTAGAGGGTCCATTAGGCTGGCCTGGAAAGGAACAGTGTTGGCAAAAACCAGGGTATGCTGAGATGACCTCAGCAAGCAAACCATCTATGTCTTCCTGCTGAAGTTGTGAGCATGTTGACAGCAGGGATGTGTCCGCTATGTTCGGTGGAAATGCTTGGCGTTGTGCCCTATCCTGAGTGGGTACTCCATCAGGGATTCTTAAGTAGTGGATATGTTATGTTCAATAGGAGATGCTATTCAGAGAAATGATCCCAGAGCCCAGTTGCAAAAGAAAGCAAACTGTATACTAAAGCAAAAAACCTCCCCACAACTACCCACTTCACTTCGTCTTCACACAAAACCTCAACAATTTTCCAGCTGTTACTAAGAGGAAGAAAGCTTTCCTTAGAATATGGAAGGAACCATAGGGATTATCTATTCCAAATTCCTCACTACACAGATAGAAGACTGAGACCTAGAAAAGGTGGGATCTGAACCCAGATCTCCTCACTCCCCACTCAAGACTAGTTCTCTTTCCACATCACCATGCTGACTATATAAGCGGCTGAGACCAAACAAGGTAGAGGGAGAGAGAAAAACAACAACAACTAGGGATTCTAGAGGGAAAAACTGGAGAAAAGTACAGCTCCACATATGCCTGGCCAGAGGAGGACCACGCCTGCCAATCAGGACAAGGACGTCAGGAGCAGAAGCCTGTGTGGCTCTGAAATCTTGCGTGGGCAACTTTGTTTTTGTGGACCTGAAACATTGTCTTAGTCTGGGTTGCTATAATGAATTACCATAGACTGAGTGGCTTAAATAACAGAAATTTCTTATAATTCTGGAGTCTGGAGGTCTAAGACCACGAATCCTGCAGATCTGGTGTTTGATAAGGGCACTCTTCGCAGTGTGCAGATGGCCTTCTTCTCATTGTATCCTCACAAGGCAGAGAGCAGAGAGAGAAAGCAAGCTCTCTGATGTCTCTTCTTATAATGGCACTAATCCCATTCAGGAGGGCTCCCCTCTCTGACCTAGTTACTTCTCAAAGCCTCTACCTCCTAACACTATCACATTGGGAGTTAGGATTTCAACACACAGATTTGGGCAGGGATGGGGGGAAAGTCCATCACAAACATAATGGTTGGTTCTTCCTTCTGAAATCATCAGGAGAATCTTTCAAGAGGCTCCAGCCAGTGGTTTTCAGCATTCCCCACTTGCCTTCCAGGTGGCAGGGACCAGCTCTGAGGTCTTTCCAGCCCAGCATCCTTCTTCCTCAGGCATCCACAGGGATCTGACTGACCACCTCTCCTCACAGGCTGGGGGCCTTCCTCCACAGGACCCTCCCATCAAGAAGCCACCCAAACATCACCGTGGTAAGAGCGGAGCCTCCCTTACTCCACAGGGCCTGCAGAGAATCCTGTGACAGCTGTCCCAGCTCACTGGCAATGGAGAGTCCCTATCCCTCCCTACTTCCTTCACTTCCTCCCCATAGGTTCTAAATCACCTTATCCTCCATCTCTCAGGTACTCAGACAAAGGCAGAAGGACCAACAATTAAGAACGATGCCAGTCAGCAAACCAAGTGAGTTCCTGACCTAACCCTCTTGTATCCCATCCATTCTCTCTAGAGAGAACACAATGAATTTCCATGTCCACCTTAATTAAGAAAGAGAAAGCTCTTCCCCACCCTTCTGGCTCTTCAGAAGGGATTTCAGAAGGAATCAACCCACTGCCTCCTGACTTGATTCTTTGGTCCATTATCATTATTTTTAATTTATTCTCTTCCTAGTTATGGAGTTGCAGTTCTGGATAAGGTAAGCACATATTAACTCAAGGGGTTGAATCAGAAAGTATTAAGCTCTGACATTCTGGAATTTCATGATAAACTTGGCTGGGATGAAGGAGCATCTTCTTCCTGCATGGCAAGGGGGTACTAAGCATAGACATGGGGCCTAACAGGATCCTATCAGAGCCAAAGCAGAAGAGGTTTGCTCTACACAAGCCAACCCAGGCTCTGGTTCTATGTCCCAGCATTTCAGGGGACCTAGAGACATTTCGAATACCCTTGTTCTTTCTCTCCAGGAAATCATCCAGCTTTCTGATTACCTCAAAGTAAGTGGCATGTGACCGCTCCCCTCAGTTCCTCCATCCACCTACCCCCTGCTCCTCTAGGTTAAGCTGACCCTCTTGTGTTTTGTGCCTGCACCCCCAGGAGGCCCTACAAAGGGAGCTGGTCCTAAAACAGAAAATGGTGATTCTCCAAGACCTACTGTCCACTCTGATTCAGGCCTCTGACAGCTCTTGGAAGGTAAGGGAATGAAATTTTTTTTGAACAAAGCTCATGGGCTTGTATGTGTTCTCATCTCATTTTTCTTTCCACATCATCACAGTAGGAGACGGGGTTTTCTCACACTGAAAAGTGGGCTGGGAGGGGGCAGAAGATGAGGTGGGTGGTACTCAGACTTAGCAATCAAACAGGTCACAATAAATATATGGGTCATCACCTGAGGGTCACGCTGCTACACATCCAAGGAAGATCCAGACCAAAAGTGGCAAGAATTCCTATTTTTTAATTTGTTGGAGGGAATGAAGGAAGATCCCAATATAGTTTATATTTCTGAATATGGTAAATGTCAAACATTTTTGTATAGGATTCACACTGATATTTATCCCAACCAGCATGCCATGTACCCACTCAGTCTGAATATGAATATCAGAGTGGGAAGGGGCCTTAGAGACAATCTGGTCTAATACTCTCAATTTGCCCATGAGGAAACTGAGTTTCACAGGGGTCAAGTAACTTGTCTAAAGTCACACAGCTGTTACTGGCAGATCTGGAACTAAAATTCAGGCCTTTGATTTTAGTCCATTCAGTGTACAATATTCATAGGTTATGTCCTCTACAGGAACACTGGACTAGCACTAGAAATAATTAGATTATTTAGATAGCGTTCTTGCTTTGAGAAGGCTAATGGTTTTATAAGAAAGACACATAACTAAACAATACAAAAACATGAAAAATAAATGTTTTGAGGATATAGGAAAATACAAGAAGGAATGAGTGACTCCAGAGAAGAAAACAGCCAAGGGAATACTTATATAAGTATTTGCCAGAAAAATATGGAAACAGGAATAGTATTTTAGTTGGTACACAGGCAAATATCTAAAGGCAAGGCCAGGTGCAGTGGCTCACACCTGTAATCTCAGCACTTTGGAAGGCCAAGACGGGTGGATCACCTGAGGTCAGGAGTTCGAGACCAGCCTGGCCAACATGGCAAAACCCTGTCTCTACTAAAAATACAAAAAAAAAAAAAAAAATTAGCCAGGCGCGGTGGCACATGCCTGTAATCCCAGCTACTCAAGAAGCTGAGGCACAAGAATCACTTGAACTGAGAAGGTAGAGGTTGCAGTGAGCCAAGATTACACCATTGCACTCTAGCCTAGGCAACAGAATGAGAAGACTCCACCTCAAAAAAAAAAAAAAAAAAAAAAGGTCAGGCACGGTGGCTGAACCTATAATCCCAGCACTTTGGGAGGCTGAGGTGGGTGGATCACGAGGTCAGGAGATGGAGACCATTCTGGCCAACATGGTGAAACCCCATCACTACTCAAAAAAAATACAAAAAACAAGCCAGGCATGGTGGCACGTGCCTATAGTTCTAGCTACTCAGGAGACTGAGGCAGGGGAATTGCTTGAACCCGGGAGGTGAAGGTTGCAGTCAGCCAAGATTGAACTCCAGCCTGGTGACAGAGCAAGACTCCATCTCAAACAAACAAACAAAAAAAGATCTAAAGACATGATACAGTCTAATACAATGGTTCTCCAACCTTTTTATTTCAGGATTTCTTTACACTTTTTAAATTACTGAAAATCTATAAGAAATTTTTATATTTACCATATTAGAAATTAAGACAGTTGGCTGGGCGCGGTGCCTCACACCTGTAAATCCCAGCACTTTGGGAGGCTGAGGCAGGCAGATCAACTGAGGTCAGGAGCTGGAGACCAGCCCAGCCAAGATGGCAAAACCCTCTCTCTACTAAAAATACAAAAATTAGCCGCATATGGTGGTGTGCGCCTGTAATCTCAGCTTCTCCAGAGGCTGAGCCATGAGAATCACTGAGCCTAGGAGGCAGAGGTTGCAACGAGCCAAGATCTTACCACTGCATTCCAGCCTGGGCGACAGAGCGAGACTCCATCTCAAAGAAAAAAAAAAAAAAGAAAGAAAGAAAATAAAAGAAAAACAGTCTGGGTACAGCAGTTCACACCTGTAACCCAGCACTTTGGGAGGCAGAGGAAGGAAGATCACTTGAGCTCCGGAGTTCAAGACCAGCTTGGGCAACATGGCGAAACCTCGTCTCTACTAAAAATACAAAAAATTAGCCAGGTGTGTTGGCATGCACCTGTAGTCTCAGCAACTTGGGAGGCTTAGGCAGGAGAATCTCTTGAGCCTCAGGGATGGAGGCTGCAGTGAGCCATGATTGCACCATTGCATTCCAGCCTGGGCAATGGGAGTGAAACTCTGTCTCAAAAAAGAAAAAGAAAAAGAACCACATTTTCAAAAACAAAACAAAATTAGTGACAGGAGTGTCATTGCTTTACACTTTTGCAAATATTTTTAATGTCTGGCAAGAAAAAGAGAGCTAGATTCTCATATTTGCTTCTGCATTCAATCTGTTGGTTTAAATATGAAGAAAAATTCAGTCTCACACAAATATGTCATTTAGAAAAGCTAAGACTTTGCTGATCCCTTGAAAGGGCCTTGGGGATTCCCTAGGTTCCTCAGAATCCCCATGCTGAAGCCCCTACATTAGTATATACTATAAATTGATGTATTAGCATGAGCTACAAGCAGTTTGACACCACCAAAGCATAAAGCACCAGGTGGAAAGAGCCAGAGCACACAACCTCACTGGCCTGTGTGACATCACACCCTAGCTCAAGGGTAGACAGAAAGATAACAGGAGGGTATAGAACAAAACTGAGAAGTTGCAGTGATGTAAAAAAGACTTCTTAAGCTCAGTCCTGCTCCTCACATCGGAAATGTCCCGTGTACCTGGAATTTTGAATGTATGGTCAGGGCTCCTGATTGTTAGGTCATTTTCATTGACAGAGTAGGAACTTAGCACCGACAGCTGTGCTTGTGAGGTGGTTTCCAGTCCTGAACTAAATTGAGATCATCTCATTTGTTTGACAGTCATTTGATAAGTTCCAACTCTGTGCTGGACCTTTGCTACAAGGACAAAAAGCATTATAGTCCTAACTCTTGAGGAGCTCACACTCTAGCCATGAAGACAGAGACACATAATAAATAACACCAAAACACTACAATACGGCTACAGCAGCAGTGTATACAGAGTGATGCAGGGAAAACAGAAAGAAGGCAGCAATTATTCTGCCTGAGGTGGAACAGGGAAGGCTTTAAAGGAAAGAAACCTGGCCAGGCACGGCTGCTCATGCCTGTAATCCCAGCACTTTGGGAGGCTAAGGAGGGCAGATCACTTGAGGTCAGGAGTTCAAGACCAGCCCGGCCAACATGGCGAAATGCCATCTCTACAAAAAATACAAAAATTAGGTGAGTGTGATAGTACATACCTAATGTTCCAGCTGCTTGGGGGGCTGAGGCACAAGAATCACTTGAACCTGGGAGGTGGAAGTTGCAGTAAGATCGCACCACTGCACTCCAGCCTGGGTGACAGAGCAAGACCCTGTCTCAAAAAATAAAAATAAAGGAAAGAAACCATTTTAGCTGAATCTTGAAGAATGAGTAGGAGCTTACCAGTACAGAAACAGGAGTGATGATGAGGAAAAAAAGCAGAAAGTAGAATGGTGTTTAAGGCAAAGAAACTGGAATGATTACAGGCCTACGAATGACAAAGAACTGGGGATAGCAGAGTATGGCTGAAATGAAGGTATGTCAGACCAGTGCCAAAAAAAGGGTCTCAAGCAGGTCTCTAGAATTATGGGTCTTAAACTTTTTCTGTTGAACAAGGTATCTCAAACTTGAATAATACATGGACCCATTTTTAAAGGAAACCCATACATGTATATATATAAAATCAGAGATCCATTAGAATGCATGCTACCCAGCTTGGGAAACACTGCTATAGGTAATAAGCTGAGGAGGAATGGAACTATGCTTTATTGAGGCTTAACATCTGACACTTAGCAATGTCTGGCTCATCCTTAGAAGGTATGCAATTACTCTCTGTGGAAATGACTTGTGAATGATCAGATCTGTATCTTAAAAGGTTCTCTAACTTCTGGCTGGACACAGTGGCCCACTCTTGTAATCCCAACACTTTGGGAGGCCAAGGCAGCAGGATCACTTGAGTGATCAAGACCAGCCTGGGCAACATAGTGAGACCTCATCTCTACTAAAAATTAAAAAATTAGCCGGGCATGGTGGTACACACCTATAGTCCCAGTTACTTGGGTGTCTAAGGCAGGAGGATCGCTTGAGCCCAGGAGGTCCAGGCCACACCACTGTACTCCAGCCTGGGTGACCCTGTCTTGAAAAAAAAAAAAAAAAAAAGGGGGAGGAGGGTTCAAGGATTCTCTAACTTGTAGCAATAAGGACCCTGGCTCCAAGCAGGGGTTAGGAGAGTTGAGGCTCTTATAATATCCCAGGTAAGACACAACCAGAACTTGAATTGAAGCAAGCTCTGTGGGAATGAGGGGTGATGTATGAAGACACATTTCTGGGTTTGTCTCTGAGGAGGAGTTTCACCCCATGCTCCAGCCCAACAGAGGAAGTTCCCTTGGTTGTGGTTTTCTCCCTCCCTTCTTCTCACCCCTCCCAATCCTCACCCTTCTCTTCTTCCTCCCTCCTCTCCACCAACCCCCTAGCTTCCGGCTTTAAAGAAAAACAGTCTCAGTCTTTTTCAGTTGACAGCTATTGCTTCCCCTAAAACAAGGCAATTCAACTCTTTATCTTTTCCATGAAAGCCTCAACTTCAATAAAAGGGTAGCCCCAGACTGTGCTACTTGGGAAAAATCACTGGAGGAATGTGGCCAGAACTGGTTCAGACCTTTATTTTTTTCCATTTGACCTTCATAAATTTGAATTTCCAACTTCACGTGCTGAGAACTCACCACAAACTCCCTATTAGAACCCCAAGGATCAGCTCCCTCCCGGGGCTCCACCTCCAGATGTCTCTGGGCTTTTTGGATACCATAGGTCCTAGGACACTACTGAGACTTCTGAGCAGGGTCCAACCTTCAGGGCAGAAACAGCTTTACCAGCAAAGAAAGCAAGCTCTCAATATTGTGCAATACAAAAACGAGAGCAGGGCAGCCTTGGGTTTGAAGATCTGCAACGTGGAATTAAGATCTTGAGATGACAGCGCAGCAGGGGATTGGCTGCAAGCCCTAAGCAACCTTTACTAGAGCAGAGAGATGAGCTGTGGGCTGGTGCTTCTGTGGTGAGGTGGTGGTGTTTCTGGAGAGCAGATCAGAGGCAGGGGAAAACCACGCAGAAGCAGGAGCTGAAGATTTCAGACCGGCACCAGGTGTGTATGGCCTCTACCTTGCTCCTCTCTCCACTGGGGGTTATGTGCCCTCTGAGCCCTGGGCTCCCGGGGTCTAGCTGCCTAGAAGGTCAGCAGTAGGCCTGTAAGAAGTGCTTCTTCCCACATACTGTAACACTGGGCTTCAGTGTCGGGAGCCCTGGGGCTCAGACCAGGAAACTACATGCCCCATATGCAACAACTTGGCTGCGACTTTTGTGACGTCCTGGGGAGTCCAGAAAAGCAGAGCTGTGGAAAGAGGTTTTTGTTCAAGCTCCAGACTTGGGTGGCCCTTCATCCCCACTGAAGGGGCTGTCATGAATTGTCTTCCATTGCAACACAAATGGAAAATTTATCTGGGTTGGGCTAAAATACAAAAACAGCTGGAAGAGGCAAAAGATTGGATTAAAGCCATACTATGGAATAGGGAAAGAGGAGACACCCCAAAAGGGTAGGAGACTGGGGACATTTTAAGAATATTGCCTTGGGCCTGTTTTCTTCCCAAAAACAGAGCAAGATAAACTTTAAACTTGGTAGGTTTGATGGTATTCTGCGCAGAAAGAGTTTGGGCAAAGGCAAATGTGTGGAATCAGAAGATACGAACTAGAGGAGGTAGGGGTGAAGCCAGTTGATTTCAGGACCTGTGGATTGACAATGAGCAGGTCACTGTGGAATGCAACCATTTCAACAGTTACTTCAAAGCTCAAACAGTGGAAGTCTTTGTCCTTGTCTTCCATCGCTCCCAAAGCCCCGTGCTTACTGTAGATGCCAAATTCCAGACTCTCTGCTCCCCCTCACCTGAGACGCTCCCCCTCACATGAGATGTTAGGAAAAACATTAGTAACAGGAGGCATTTTAAAAAATTATTTTTGGCAACGCTTTTTGCTTTTTCAAGCCCCAGCAGAGAAACACAGGAAGCAGAAAGGGTGGGGGCACCCCCGGGCTCCCATGGTTAGAAGAATCAGCCAAACAAGATCAAAACAGGAGCTGAGAGATACCACTTCCTGCCTCCCCCAGGCACCCTGAAACTCACTGAGGGAAGCAGACCTCAACACCAAGCTCCCTTCTTTGCCCCCAGACCGTTACAGACCGGAAATGTTATAGGAGATAGGAATGTCCAGGCCGTGTGACTGAGAGGGCCCACGGCATCTCAGGCCTGAAGAGAGGTGGAATTTCAAACCTCACAACTGTCCCACTTGGCCAGGTTGGAAAAAGCCAGAGAAAGGATAGGAAAACCAGCTACTGCCCTGTCTCTGTAAAACCTGCTCTCATTGATGGAACCCCCACCCCATCCCCTACACACATACACTCTACACAAAGCTCCAGGCTGGAAGAATGAAATCCCTACCTGGGAAAAAGGGGCAAGTCTACAAATGGAGGGACAACAAAGCGGCAAGGAAGCTGTTAGCACTCAGCTGAAATACTGACAAACTGAGAAGCCGAGACTGGCTCCTCATGCCAGCCTTGCTCCCTTCTCGCCCTTGAGATTAGCATCTGTCTTGGAGTGTCCAAAATGCCATTAGACAGACCCAGCTTATGAATAAATAGAATGTGACTTTCTGGGAAGCTTGCTCACACCCCCTGCTGCTCTCACTCTGCTTTAATATCTCTCAGTTTCTTGCTTTCTTAAAGAAGTTCTCGTCGAGTCTAGTATGTACATATGCATGTGGAAGTGTGTGTGTACAGGTGGAAGGATGTGTGTGCAGGTGTAGGTGTCCGTGTGCAGGTGGGAATGTGTGTGTGCAGGTGGAGGTGTGTGTGTGCAGGTAGAAGTGTGTGTGTGCAGGTGGAGGTGTCCATGTGCAGGTGGAGGTGTCCATGTGCGGGTGGAATGTGTGTGTGCAGGTGGAGGCGTGTGTGTGCAGGTGGAGGTGTGTGTGTGCAGGTGGAGGTGTCCGTGTGCAGGTGGAATGTGTGTGTGCAGGTGGAGGTGTGTGTGTGCAGGTGGAGGTGTCCGTGTGCAGGTGGANGTGTGTGTGTGCAGGTGGAGGTGTCCGTGTGCAGGTGGAAGTATGTGTGTGCAGGTGGAGGTGTCCGTGTGCAGGTGGAGGTGTGTGTGTGCAGGGGAGGTGTCCGTGTGCAGGTGGAAGTATGTGTGTGCAGGTGGAGGTGTCCATGTGCAGGTGGAAGTGTGTCTGTGCAGGGGAGGTGTCCATGTGCAGGTGGAAGTATGTGTGTGCAGGTGGAGGTGTCCGTGTGCAGGTGGAAATGTGTGTGTGTGCAGGTGGAGATGTGCGTGTTCAAGTGGAAATGTGTGTGTGCAGGTGGAAGTGTGTGCAGGTAGAGGTGTCTGTGTGCAGGTGAAGGTGTCCGTGTGCATGTGGAGGTGTCTGCAGGTGGAAGTGTGCATGTACAGGTGGAGGTGTGCGTGTGCAGATGGAGGTATGTGTGTGCAGTTGGAGGTGTGCATGTGTGTGGAGGTGTGCATGTGCAGGTGGAGGTGTGTGTGTGCAGATGGAGGTATGCGTGTGCAGTTGGAGGTGTGCATTTGTGTGGAGGTGTGCATGTACAGGTGGAGGTGTGCGTGTGCAGATGGAGGTATGTGTGTGCAGTTGGAGGTGTGCATGTGTGTGGAGGTGTGCATGTGTGTGGAGGTGTGCATGTGTGTGGAGGTGTGCATGTGCAGATGGAGGTATGTGTGTGCAGTTGGAGGTGTGCATGTGTGTGGAGGTGTGCATGTGCAGGTGGAGGTGTGCATGCACATGTGGAGGTGTACATGCGCGTGTGGAGATGTGCGTGCGCGTGTGGAGATGTGTGTGCACATGTGGTGTGCGTGTACAGGTGGAGGTGTACATGTCCAGGTGGAGGTTTGCATGTGAGGGTGTGTATGTGCAGGTAGAAGTGTGCATGTGCAGGTGGAGGTGTACTGTGCAGGTGGAAGTGTGCAGGTGGAAGTGTGTGTGTGTATGTGCAGGCATATGTGTGCCGGTGGAAGTGTGTCTGTGCATGTTCAGGTGGAAGTATGCGTGTGCAGGTGAAGGTGTGCGTATGCAGTTGGAGGTATGCATGTGCATGAGGAGGCGTGTGTGTGCAGGTGGAAGTGTGCACGTGCATGTGGAGGTGTGTGTATATGTGCAGGTATGTGTGGCAGGGAAGAGAGTATATTAATTTCCTAGGACTGCTGTGACAAAGTACCACAGTCAGGGGAGCTTCAACAACAGAAACTTATTTTCTCACAGTTCCGGAGGTCAAAAGTCTGAGATCGAGGTGTGGGCAGAGTTCGTTTCTCCTGTGGTCTCTCCCCTGCCATCTCTCTCTGTGTCTCCATGTGGCTTTCCCGCAGTGTCCTGATCCCTCTTTTAGTAAGGACATTCATCATATTGGATTAGGGCCCAATCTAATGGCCTCATTTTAACTTAACTACATCTTTAAAGACCCTGTCTCCAAATATGGTCACATTCTGGGGCACTCGGGGCTTAGGACTTCAGCATAGGAATGTTGAGGAGATACACATCAGCCCGTAACAGTGGATAAGGGAGGGAATAAATATTCTCCTGGGAAGGGAGACTGTGTTAGCCTTACTGGCCTACATTTTACAGGCAAAAGTCCACGTACAAGACTGAGAAGAGGTGAGGAGTACAGAAGTGCCTAGACAGGGGAGGGAAGGTAGTGAGTGAAAGGGTAGCTTAGAAGCTTTCATTCCAGGCCCCCCAACCCCCTGCTATGCGACCCGGGGCCATTTGATAAAAATTGAGGAAAAAGAGGACTTGAGGCCAGTCTGATTCTTTCTTGTCCTAGCCCAGGGAAAGAGAAGATCCTCTTCTAACTAACATCCTTTGTCATCTTTGCTCCTGCCTACCTCCTGAAAGAGTTCACTGTTTGAGCACCAACTATGTGTTGGGCAGTAGGATAGGAATGTAGAGTCAAACTCTTTGCAGACTAGATTTTGGCCCAAGTTCATTAACTCATCCCATTTGCTCTAGGGACAGCTTAATGAAGACAAACTAAAGGGGAAACTGAGATCCTTAGAAAACCAGCTGTACACGTGTACCCAGGTAAGCGTTCTGAAGGATACTTCCATCTCGGGAATCTAGAATTAAAGGAGAAGAATGCCTGAACCTCAATCCTACTTTCTAGAAATGCCATCAGATAGAGAATAACACACTCATTCCTACTTACCCAGTTCTGGCTTGGCCATTTTCACTTTAGTCTCTAATTCACTAGATCACTGTCTCCATCTTCGTTCTCTCTCTTTCTCCCAGTATCCTTCTCTTTGCACCCTGGGAAGGAATCCCAGCACTAACCACTTTGTCAGCTCCCAGGGAAACCTTGAGAATACCTGAAACTGTAGGGAAAGACCCTTGGTAAAGAGTCACATCACCCAGACAGACCTTTACACATCCTAATCTTTGAACAGATGAATTGGATGTTATAAGGAAGTCTTAGAAAATGATTTTCATTCTATGGGCAACTTTTTTCTGTTTTTCTAACAACCATTAGAAGAATATAAAAGCTCTTTTACTTGGCTCTTCTGTAACATTGTTTTCCAGCATCAGTAATCTCTTGATTGGCGTAATCTTGATTTACAAGAGATAGAAAGAAATCAGCTTTCACACTTGAGAAGTGATGAATCCCTGACAGGTGGGAAGATGTCAAATAAGAGAATGGGGTGAAACAGGCAGACTTCTCCCATCTGGAGTTAGAGAGAGAAGACAGCCCTGGCTACATAGATGGCCTCTTATAGGGGATCAGAGTTTATGGAGTCTACAACTTTCGTGGTCCACAACTTTTATTTTTGCAGTATGATTTGCTTTGTCATCATACTGCATACATAAATAATGCCAACCAAGCTCATAAGAGACTAATATATAATTCAGAATGCCAGTCTATTAATTTTCAGTGAGGAATAACAAATAATCAGTGACCAGCATGAATGGTCATTGGATGTCCAGTATCTGGGACATCCCCTACATATGACCTCAACCAGGTTAACTCCTGGATCTGATTTTTAATGAAAGTTCCAACACCATAAAACCCACTCACATTTAAATCGAAAATTTCAGATAATTCCAAAGCTAAACGGAAATGATTTCATATGGATTCCTAAATTTTTGTCATCTAGTCTACTGCTTACATAGTGGTAATCCAGAATTGACACTAAAAGCTGCCTGCCTTCTCCAAAATCACAGAGCATAAAGATGAAAAGAAGGGAGAAGGCAAGACCCGCCCCCCACCAGTGAATTTGCAAAGCTACGCTTGTGTCTGTTTCTTAATCCTGCAGCCAGGAGGAATTTTATAATGCAAAGGTATCAATTTTAAAACATTAAGTTCATTTGGAATTGTAGAGTGGCCACAATGGTCTCATTTAAAAGCAGCAGCAGTATGCTAGCTCCTGAAGGAGTTTACAATCCAGTATGAAAGGCAGATGAGTCAACCGAGTAGAACAATACAGGCATGCAGGGGATATTATGTGAACAATACAGGCATGCAGGAGATACTATGTGAACACTATGAACACTAAGAAAAGCTACCTAATCCATAAGACATTGGGGAATGGGGGTAGTTGGTCAATTTATCAGAACTGATGATACTGGACTGAATCTTGAGTATGAGAAGAAGTTAACCAGCTCTAGGCAGCAGCTATATGGGTAAAGGCGGAAGCCAAAAAACAAAGTGCTGGGGGATCTGCAAACATCTCGGCTTAGGTAGAAGTAGCATGGGATGAAAATCTAGGCATGTAAGAGGAGCAATGACAAGGAGTTTAAATGTCATTCTTAGGATGCTGGGAATCCATGGAGAGATGTATGCAGGAAGTGGCAAGATCGGATTTGCATTTTAGAAAACTTTGTAAATGCAGGACTGAAAAGGGATTGAAGGGAGGAGGCAAGCTTTGAAGAAAGGGAGGCTGCTGCATTAATCCGTATAATTCTACTACTAGAGCCTGAACTAAGGAAGCAGAAGTAGGGATAGAGAGGAGACAGACATGAGCTGTTAAAGAAATTGTCAAGGCTCAATAACTAACTGATTACTGGGAGGAAGTGGGAGAGAAAATGAAGACTGGCTCCTTGGTTTAGGGTTTGGAAACGCCTGGATGGATGATGATTCTGGCCACTGAAATAGGAAGTCCAGGACAGAAAATACATGCTTAGAAAGATGAGTCCTTTTAGACATGTTGGATTTCAAGAGCTTGTACAAGTCCTTGGTTACAATGCCCAGCAAGCCTAGGGCACTGTTTATTATGTCCCCCACTCATCTCTCATTGACTGAGGGACTCTCCCTGCTAGCTTTACCCTAAAAGAAAAGGCTCACGAGATTACTGGTATCTCTTCCCTGGGGGAAGAATCAACTTCTTTTCATTTCTGTATCCCAGCTCAGGATTTGGCACACAGAAGCTCAATGTGTATTTGTTGAATTGCATCAAATTTACAGAAATACTCCCCTTGGGGAATGAAAAAAGTGCTACTGGAGATGGAAGACCAGAAAAACAGCTATGAGCAGAAGGCCAAGGAGTCACTGCAGAAAGTGCTAGAGGAAAAAATGAATGTAGAGCAGCAACTACAGAGCACACAGGTATAAGGATGCTACATAGACCTTGGGGTGGGAACTCCAGGCAGCTTAGAGAACAAGCAGCGAGCTGCACAACTCCCTGGAACCCTCTCCTCTCTGATCTCCCTCAGCGATCCCTTGCCCTGGCAGAGCAGAAGTGTGAACAGTGGAGGAGCCAGTATGAGGCTCTGAAGGAGGACTGGAGGACCCTAGGGACCCAGCACAGAGAGCTGGAGAGCCAACTCCACGTGCTTCAGTCCAAACTGCAGGTACCAGGCACTGGGGCTGGGGAGGGAAAGCAGGGTATGGGGAGGGGGGGTGGTGATGAATGAAGCTGCTCTGGGTTAGGGACTCCAAAGGCGGCTGACAGCATCTGGCTTTCAGTTCCTCGGTCACCGCCTACTTTGTACCAAAGTCACAGTTTTGGCTCTGAAATCGAATTTTGAGTTTAGCAAGGGTGTCTGCACTGCTCGTGCAAATGAACTAAGCATTCACTGGAATGACACCATGCAAATGAAAAGAGCTGGCTGGGATATTCATCAGTCTACTAATGTCATACCCCAACCCGCTCTCCAAACATTATCCCAAAAAAGCATCCAGTTCAGAATTGCCCATTATTGGCACAGAACGAATGTCATTAATTTATTTACAGGTGAGTACTAACACTTTCTGCCAATGTGTGTGTGTGGCTTTTTGTTTTTTGTTGTGTTGTTGTTTTTTTTTTTTTCTTTTTTGAGACGGAGTCTCACACTGTCACCCAGGCTGAAGTGCAATGGTGCAATCTCAGCTCACTGCAACCTCCATCACCTGGGTTCAAGTAATTCTCCTGCCTCAGCCTCCCGAGTAGCTGGGATTACAGGTGCCCGCCATTACACCCAGCTAACTTTTTTGTATTTTTAGTAGAGATGGGGTTTCACTATGTTGGCCAGGCTAGTCTTGAACTCCTTAACCTCGTGATCCACCTGCCTTGGCCTCCCAAAGTGCTGGGATTACAGGCATGAGCCACTGTGCCTGGTCTATGCGTTTTTTAAGCAATTACATTTAGCAATTACAATTAGACTCTTGGCATTCTCAAGGGTTCCATCATTTTCAATCCGTCCTAAGTCTCAGTCTCCCTATCTGTGAAATGAGGACAACAGTACCTTTGACATAAGGTTGTTCTGAGGATTAAGTAAGGTGATCCATGTAAAGCACTTAGCACAATGCCTGGCACATTAAAGCACTCGGTAAATGTCAGCTATTATTTGCATAGATTTATTTACTTGGTTTGGAATTTTGAGGCTCCACCTCAAAAGCTGATCTTTGTAATTTTCCTGAAGCAGGGCTCAGAACAGCTCACTTGATAAGGGACAGAGTATGTGAGTCTTATCAAAGGCGTGAACCTAGCTGGTCACTCTACATGGTATCCACATCTCAACCTTTATTGTTCTCTTCTTCCCACCACCTATAAGGCAACTCCTATGAAGATTTTTGTGTTTTGTTTTTTTTTAACTTTGAATCTTTGTGGGGGAAAAGAAAAGACCCTAACAAAAAAACAATTCATACTGCCAGAAGAAGAAAAGAGCAAGTGAAAACATCTAGCAAAGTGATGACTTCATCTTCCTTAATTTGGTGATTTACCAAAGTGTCAAGACATGAGTCCCATGCCAATGACAACCGCTTACATTTCCCCTAGAATGGCAGGTTTTTTAAAGTATTGGGTTTCCTAAAGCAATTCTTATTTTATATATTCTAATTTATGTACATGAGTATATAGCATAGACCTCTGTCACTAGAGATGGTTTAAAAAATAAACTTACACTACACATGCCTCAGTCCACTTCAAAACTACTGGCATGCGTCTGTAGTTCCAGCTACTCAGAAGCCTAAGGTGGGAGGATTGCTTGAGCCCAAGAGATCGAGGCTGCAATGAGCTATGTTGGCACCACTGCACTCCAGTCTGGGTGACAAAGTGAGACCCCATCTCTAAAAATAAAAATAAATAAAACAAGTTCCTTGTGAATATCAAAATTCTAATTTTCTGTTATAGATGTAAGGAACAAAGGAAAGAGAAGAATAGGAAAAAAGAAACACCTCCCTATTTTCTCATTTCCCTAACATTCCTTCTAACTCAACGATTCCAGAATTTTCTTATTTTTCTCTTCCATGGTACCTGCCCCCAACCTCCACCCGAGCACTGACATCCTTCTATATTGACCCCTCCTCCTCCTTACAGGGAGCTGATAGCAGGGACTTACAGATGAACCAGGCCCTTCGATTTTTGGAGAATGAACACCAGGAACTGCAGGCCAAGATTGAATGCCTACAAGGGGACAGAGAGCTGTGCAGCTTGGATACCCAGGACCTACAAGGTATTCTTCTCCTTGGAGGCCTTAGGCACACAGGAGCCATGGCCAAGTGAGCTAAGAAAAAAAAAAAAAACCTTGTTAAGAGAAAGGCTTCAGGTTTTTATTTCTTCGCTTGATTGGCTGATTGGCTTTATAATATCATTTTACCTTGAGGGAGGGACAGGGCTGTTTTAATCACCCAAAACTGAAAATTAATTTCACTATACTAGAGCATCTTATTGTCTGAACTCTCTTTTTTAGCCCATCCCTCTAGGCCAGATCACAGCTGCTCCCATATCAGTCACATATATCAAGGCCACATTCCTCATTTGAAAGGGAAAGGTCAGTTGACACACAGGCATAAAGTCTCTCAGTCACAGCCTCTGTGTCAGCTGATAGAGAAGACTAGATCGTGTGTAAATACAATCCTCAATCAACCCAACATTGTTGATGCACAGAACCTGAGGTACTTGGCTTCTGGTTTACCTCTTTAGAACTGGGCCACGAAGATAGAGCAACTTCCAATAGACACACGTTAGAGGCCATGACAAGACAGCATCTATTACTAATTTCCATCCTTCAGTACTGGGTTCATTAAGCCTTGGGTTCCTTTATTTTGGCTTGCATTATTGCATTTTCAGATCAACTAAAAAGGTCGGAGGCGGAGAAACTCACCCTGGTGACCAGAGTACAGCAGTTACAGAGTAAGTTCGCTTTCCAGATTCTAAAAGTCCACAGGGTTTTCCTGGGGCTCCTGGCCCACAAAAGGCACTCAGAGTAGGGATTAAGGGCCCAGTCTGTGGCATATGCTTTAACTCTGTGCATTTTCAGACCCTCTTCTTGTGACGTTAGGTCATTTACATAGCTCTCCAGAAATTATGTATTGGCTTCCGTTCTTTTTTTTCTACTTCTGTCCTTCCATGCCAATGATACCATTTGCAATTTCCCCTAGAATTGCAGATTTTTTTAAAGTACTGGGTTTCCTAAAGCAGTTCTTATTTTATATATCCTAATTTATGTACATGAATATGTCATATAGACCTGTTACTAGAGACGGTTTACAAAATAAGCTGACACTATATATGCCTCAATCCACTTCAAAACTTCATATTGGCCCCAGAAAGGAAAGGGGACTTCTCAGAAGAAAAGCACTTTCTGAAAAGTTGGGGAACCTGTCTCAATTAATACCGCAGCAGGTTGCCTACCACTTTAACCTCTGATACCTGATAGAGAAGCTTCATGCAAACAGCAATGAATATTAACAGAGCAAAGCAACCTCAGGGGAAAGGGAAAGTCTTCAAGCAAAAACTTGAAGGTAGAGACATGGTAGGGACAGTTATAAGGATGATATATTCATAGCAAAGTACCACAGACGGTGTGTCTTGAAGAACAGAAATGTATTGTCTCACAGTTCTGGCGACTAGAAGTCCAAGATGTCAGCCGGGTTGTTTCCTTCTGAGGGCATTTAGGGAAAGATCGATGTCAGGGCTCTTTCCTTGGCTTTGTAGATGACCATCTTCTCCCTGTGTCTCTTCACATCATCTTTCCCATGAACATATGTGTCCAAATTTCCCCTTCTTGTAAGGACACAAGTGATATTAGATTAGGGCCCACCTGAATGACCCCATTGTAACTTGAATATCTTTTAAAGAACTTATCTCCAAATAAGGTCATAATTTAAGGGACTGAATCTTCAACATATAGATCCTGGGGAAGAAAATTCAACACATAGCAGATGGAAACACATTTAATAACTAAGGTTCTAAGCAAAGTTCCGAAAAGAAACTCTTTGTAGTAAATATGCTAGCACAGACAAGTTCCTTGTGTTTTCCAACAGGTCTACTTCAGAATCAATCCTTACAGCTTCAAGAACAGGAGAAACTCTTAACAAAGAAAGGTCAGCAAATTTATTACCACAAATTCTAAGATATTGCTCTTCCCGTACCTGCCTAGAGGCAGGGGGATGGACTACATGACCTCCTGGAGTCCCATCCAGCTCTGGGAGTCTGTTAAGTCTGGGATGTATGGGAGCTTTTTAAGGACTGATCATTGGCTCTGAGGACACTTCAACTAGTTAGCCTTCTATCCTGAGGTATACAAACTGTGGAAAACGGTTTCTATTCTCTCTGAAAGCACATGTCTATGTTGAACATTTCAATAAACTTATTTTGAACTCAGGATTTCATGTCAATTTTTACACACTTGATTTTCCAAATCATATCCAACTCCCCGGCCCCAAACCACGTAGCATGCCAGAGTCAAGTAACTCTTAGCCCTAGAGAGTCTACTGTCCATGTTTCCTGAGAATTCACCGTCTACACAAGGTCCAACAGCTCCTCACCTATCCACTACACATGACCTTTTGTTTTCTCCTCACAATCACTGGGCATAATGTAAGAGATAAGGCAGAAATTTTTATGCCCACATAGTACGGATAAGAACATGAAGGTCTGTGTCACCACAGACTAACAACACAGCTACAACAATAATCCAGAACTTCTGACTCCTAGTCCATGCTTTTTCACCAAGACAAAGACTGCAGGGTGGCTGAAAACCCATCTTTAACCATATGAAGACAAATTTTAGAATATGACTGCCATCTTCACAACTTTGAAATGAGGGCATCAGGGAAAAGGGGTTATATTAAAGCAGCCACCAAACTTATTTGACAAACTAGGAAGAATGTGACAACCAATGAAACTCAATTAATAAGTATTCACTAAAATTATCCAGCATTAGACAAGACTGAGGATAGAAAGAAAAGGTGCCAATCTTGCCCTCAAGGAGCTCAGATTCCAACTGTCTGTCAAAGCTTAGGAGGGGCCCAATAGAAGTTAAACTTTATGTCAGAGAATGCCATTAGTCTAGCCAAGAGCACACCCCACCTAGTTCCCTCCCCTCTCCCCACTCCTAGTGGTCTACCCTCAGCGCCCTTCCTCAGAGGTGTGGGCCTCACTATCACCAAGAATCTGGCTGCTTTTATAGATCAGGCTCTGCCCGAGTGGAGTCCAAAGTCCTTCCATAACGAAGTGGAGCCTGAGGGTAAAGGAAAGGAGAAAGACTGGGATCTGAGAGACCAGCTGCAAAAGAAGACTTTGCAGCTCCAGGCCAAGGAAAAGGAGGTGAGAGGGTGACCGGAGCCAGTGAGGGCTCATCTGCAGAATGGCAGAGAGACCTGGGAGGCAGCCAAAGGGCAGGGATTTCAAAGTTTAAGTTGTGACTGGATATCCACAGATATTCATTTGCCTGTATAAAGTGTCTGTGCTTCTGGACTGACTTGCCAATCTTTTCCCTTCCTTATTTATACCAACTCCTAGTCAAGTTTTTATTAAATGGTTACCTTTTAGAAAGTCAACCAAAACTCAAACACATTTAATGAAAATATTAACTTCTCAATATGTTGTCCCACATTGAGTATCTTAAATCTTTTTTTTTTTTAGTTTATTAAACTAAGTGTATCTAGACTTGCTAAATCTTTATATGTCTTTTAAAGAGTAACACTCTTCCTTTGTACATATCCACAAACATACATATCCCCACAGTGTTCATACACAACTAACTCCTAGGAAAGGGACTTGTTCTAAGGTCACTTCTAGGTCTTTTGTGCTATAAGAACTTCATTTTTTGGTGTCTCCCATTTGCAAAGCACTTGCATGTAAAGTCTTTGTATAAAAGAACTTAGGTGTATAAAATGCAATAATATGCGCATTATCAATCATTTAAATGAACACATTCCAGACAATGTGAGACAGTCAAAAGACAAACTCAAATCCCTGAGAATGGCTGGGAAGGGAGGATGGTGGTAAAAATTCTGAATGAGTGAAACTTACATCGGGCAGTCTCCCCAACCTGGGCTCTGTCCTAGACAGAAGTGATAGTGATGACTTTGGTGATATTCTCCCCAGTGCAGAGAACTGCATTCGGAGCTAGACAACCTCAGTGACGAGTACCTCTCCTGCCTGCATAAGCTGCAGCACTGTCGAGAAGAGCTGAACCAGAGCCAGCAGCCACCTCCCAGAGTAAGAGGGTCTATCCTTCTGTAAAGCCCCGGATGATGGGACGATTCCTTCTTTAGCCAAGTTTTGCAGATAAAATGAATCAGCCCACGCCAACATCTGGCCATTCTGTCTCATTGTGCTTGGTTTATACTATACTGACATTATGGCAACCATTGGAAAAAATACTGGCTCATGCATCAAAGCCCAACTTTCATGGAACTCTCAATGCCAGAGGGAAAGACTTACTCTTAGCTAAAGTATGAAAGGGTGTTCTTTTAGCCTGTGATAAGCATGGAGCCAGGAAGAGTAGGACAACAAAAGTACTGGGGAATATGAACAAAGAACATAATTTTACTGAGTTATTTTCCACCCTTGATTATTCATATCAGTATTTATATATCTGGTCCCTGATGGATATGGCTCCCTGGGCCAGGGACCACTGGTTAAGTGGTTTCACCCCAAGAGAGGTGACAAAGTGGGCAATAGTGTAAAAAGCTTTTTCTCCACCACCAACCCAGGGTTTTCCACTGGACTAAAGTAGGAAGAAGAAAGATTTTTGCCCATATCTTTTCCTGTCAACTCATGGCCACTTTCTTCTGTCCCCCTGTCCCTCTGCAGAGGCAGTGTGGGCGATGGCTCCCAATGTTGATGGTGGTGATTGCTGTAGCGCTGGCAGTGTTCCTGGCCAATAAAGACAACCTGATGATCTGAATAAAACAGCTGCCTTGGGTGAAAATCAGAAGCAAGCAACTCAACGAAAAGAAGATTTGGGTACATTACAGCTTGGGTTTTCCTTTTCCAACTGACTTGGGATTTCTGACTTTTTGTTATTTTCTTAACCTACTGTAAATAAACTTCACCTGACCAGACTGTTCCTCAGAACTCTTGGTTTATTCCTGAATGGTGTATTACATTAACAAGTATCACATATTTAAGCATACTGGTGGTCTACTCTCCTCAAATTCAGCTGGAGGCATAAAAAACATGCAGAAAAGCCTCCAGCCCAACTTTCCTAGCAGACGGCACCCACATAGAGCACCACACAAGTATTTAGCTTGTCTTCCACCACCCTGCTTTTCCTCTGTCATCTCTTTTCTTCTATCTCTTATCCTGTGAAAATGAAAACATCTCCACTAAGAGGACTTCCTGGTATAGAAATGGCAAGTATGTACTATCTACCAATTTGCTACCAGCACCAGCATTGCCTATTTCCATGCCCTTTGCATTTGCAGCCAATTATTACAGCATTGTGCCTTAGTGTACTCAAGACACTTGGAATTGGCACTTGAGATGATTATTTGCCATCCCCAACCTAAAGATGATCTTTTACTGAGTACCTTCTGTATGAGAGGAGAGTTAAAGTCAGAGGGCCACAGCAGGCAGTGTGACTATCTCAGAGGAGATGCTGAGATCAGCAAAGTCATTCTGAGTCCTAAATCGGGTTCTGAGGTCCTTCTCCCAGGTGTTTAGAATGTCCCTCAGGCCTGGGAACAAGCTCTCTGGGACACTAAAGGAATAGAGCAGGATTGGGGGTTGACCTAGCAACCATGAGATCCGGGCAGTGAATACTCGTAGTGGAGTCAGAGCTAAGCAGTTGTCATCTACCTGGTTCAGGTGAAAGGTATAGGGGACAGGATAGCCCAGGAGGATCCCAAATACAGTACAGAGATTCCAGTCTGAGGAATGGAGCCTGCTGTGGGAGACTGCTAGAGATAAGTCCCTCTGCAGTCCCTGCAAATGTGTGATGATCTCAGCCACGAGGGCCTTCAAGTCCTGACGCTGGTCCAGGGAGCAGACACAAGGGTGAGGCTGGCAGCCAGAAACGTCCACAAAGGCTATGGTACCAAGCAGCACCTGCTCCAAGTGCTGGCATACATGCTCAGGACTGACAATCAGGCTGTTTTCTCCAATCTCAAGGATGTGAAGTCCAAAGTTCAGGAAACCAAGCCCCTGCAGCTCCTCCAGATAGCTCTGGAGCTCTGATGCCCCTGCACAGTTGCAATCATAGAGCACAGCTGGCTTCAGTCCCCGGGCCACAGCCAGCACCTCTCCAGCTAAGTGAAGGCAGATGGCTTGGGGTAGACTCCGTCTCTTTCCCAGGCCAAGGTTCTGCTGAGCAGCTGCCACCAGCAGCTGAGGGCTCGGTGATGACATGACATCTAGAAGCAACATCAAGAATGGCCTCCTTAGCTAGCCACAATTCCCTTCCCTGGGTGGCATCTTTCAGCCAGACACTTGAGGAGGGGCCTAGAAACAAAGCAGGAGCAGGGAATTATTAGCAGCCAGTAACACACCAGGAAACCTGCCAAAAGCCTTCCTGTTAAGTCTAAGTGTCTTCCAAAGGTTATTCTGTCCCTTTCTCTGCTTCGAAATGCTGACCCAACCCAGACAAGATAGGATCACCAATGCTACCTGATTTTTCTGGTTGACTTGGTCTCCCTCAATCTCAAATTCATGTGTCTTTCTAGCCTTACAGCTAGATTTACATTCTCTCTGGCTTTTATTCTAAATTTTATATGTTGCAAATTAAGTTCTCTGGTTCAAACCTTAAGGAGTTTGGGGCAGAAGCGGAGGCGGGGCAGTCTTTGGCAAAATTCACAGCATTTCGCCCAAAAGCCCTTCTGGGACAGAGCTCCAAGTTCTAAATGTATCCTTTCCACTGACAACTCCCCTACTCTTCCCACCAGGGAATAGTTGTAAGAATAGCAATTTGATTAATATGCACCAGAATGTGGACTAACAACCATCGCATCCTGACACATTAAAATGAATGAATGAAATCCGCTAGAACTGCAAGAAGGGTAGTATTTTAACTTCTGCTGGCCCCGCCTTCCCTTGCGATCCGACATCAAGAACCTTTGGAAGATGGGCTTTCTCTGATCCACACACCCCACACCAGAGCATATTACAGTGATTTGCTAAATGAGGCAGAAGTCTCTCTCACATACGTTCTTTTTCCACGTCCGCTACAGGTTCGCGGGCTCAGAAACTTTTTGCTGCTTCCTGCCTGCTGCCGGGAAGGCAGCTAGTCCCCCGCGCCCAGCCGCAAGCAACACTGCAAATCCCGCCTGTGCTGGGGAGACCCTCGCAGCCGGCTCCGCTCTAGGCCGGCAGACACCTTGTTGCGCATGCGCACCCACTCGGGTGCCGCCCTCATTCGCCCCATTCCGTGACGTCATCCAGCCGCTCTCCCGCCTCGCATTGGAACCACTAGCCAGGCCGCCTTGCCACTGCCGGAAGTTTGGGCCACCCTGCAGCCCGCCCTTTCCGGACAGGCAAAACCCGGCCCCACCTGTCTGCTTAGGAACTGGGAAGGGCGGAAGTGAACGAGAAAAGGCGGAACCTGGTGAAACTGGTTTCCCGCTGCTGCCCTCATTTTGCTTCGCCGAGCGTCCTCCGTCTCTTATGACGTCTGGGAATCCATAAACAGGGCACACAGCACTCTAAATTAACACCTTTGAGTTGTATCTGTGGAAATACGTTTTGTCCAGACGAAACAAACCTCAAGACAATATATTTTGCAGAATAGCCTCACCTATGGGTGGTGCTGCAGCGTTTTTTTTTGTTTTTTTTTTTTAACTTTGACTTCTCTAAATCATACATTTGAGAGACTTACAAGAACAGCTCTCTAGAGAGGGTGTGAAGGTGTGAGTATTCACTTTGAACAAATACATGCCAGCCATGCTGCTAGGTCCTGGAGGTATTGCAGTGTGCAAAAGACAAAACCCCCACTTTCATGAGGCATGAGGTCATGTCTACTGAATCTAGTTTGCTGATTTCAAATAAGAAATGAGACGTGATGACACAGGCTTTCCAGTCAGGTCATTACAAAGGAAAAGTGTTACTTCCCATAAGAGTTAACATCTTTTTAACTACCAGCTATTTGACCCATACCATGAAAAGAAAGGATTTCTTGAGAAAACCCCAATGTCTAAGGAAATGGCCCCAATTTATTTATACTTGGAGCAGAATAGAGATTAAGGGAATGACGGACACCTACAATGGAGTCGTCACTCCTGGGTCTATGTTGGTGGTGTCTTCAGATGGTGAAAAGTTAACTGTACAGTAAAGATGGGCTCAGCATGGGAGGAGGACCAGCTTATAGGAGTTATCAGCCTAACTCTGGTTCTTAGCTCAGAGGGAGTCAGAAGCTGAGAGCAGAAAGTAGTCTTCTAATTTTAGAATGTTTTCCTTCCCCCATTTATTTAATTTTCCCATGGTGGTTAAAAATAAATCCCTAAAAGACTGATTTAATTCATTCATTTATTCCAGCAACAAATATTTGAGAACACACTGTGTACCAGACACTGTCCTAAGGACTGGCAGCAAAGTCCAAGACAAACAATTCCTACCTTCAGCAAGTTTGTAGTCAAGCAGGATAAAGATGCTGAGCATTACGAGGAAAATGATTATTCTGAAAGGGGAAGCATAGGGTGCTACGGGAACATATAACCAGGGACCTAATTATATAGGAAAGGGGCCAGCCCAGATCCAACACTTGCTTCTCCCAGTTTACCTCCAATAGGTTCTTTTTAACTTGAACTAATCTAGTTTGGTGGAGTATACAGCAAGCAAAAGGAAGAGCTGTGACAAAATCTAACTCCCTTCCTAGTCTTAAGCAAGGTGAAGGCAAGGATGCAAAGACATCAATGGAGTAAGTGGTGGTAGCCATCAAAGGAAATAGAAGACTGAGGCCCTAAAAAAAGGAAACCTAAATTTATCCAGCAGGACAGAGAAAGAGCATTGAGGGTGATCAGCTGGGACCCCTGCATGTATGCTCCTGGCATTCTGAAAAGGAACCAAGACAAGGAAGAAAACGGGGTATCTAGTTAAGATCTCACAAATCACTCATCCATTCCTCTGACATGTTCATAAACTTTTCACAATGGTTACAAACCAAAAGCTTGGTATTTCTTGGCACTTTCCCAATACCCTTTACCAGCTCACATCATCTGGGCTCCCACCCAGAATACAGATAGCCTGTTAGCATTTCACAGAAGAACAAGAGTTGCCCTCCTAATTTACCTGCAGTGGGTTATTTTTAGCTTTGAGCTCCCACACACAGATGGGGCAGCCAAATATCAAGACCAAATCCCTCACTTCACCCACTCAACAAAGCGACCCCAAAATGTAAAGTTTCTGTGCCTTTAATGCTTCCTGGTCCCTAAAAACCCAACTTTTTCTTGAAGCTGGGCAGCTATCTTTAGCTACATTTCTTAAACTTTATTAGCATGGGCAATGCTTTTCATGATAGCAATTTCCACTAGGTCTCTTAGAAACTCTAAAACCAAGCCTTAAGCACTTTAAAAAAAATAAATAAGTCCTCGTGTCACCACTGATTTTGAACTTTTAATTTTTAAAAGAAAGCTAGCTCAACTTTTGAGTCATTTTCAAAAGTAGGAGATGGCCTGGTTTAAAGGCACCAGACTAGACATGGGCTTCCTATGTCCTGACACAGACAGATAGGCATCACTATTCAAGAGGACTGGGGCTTGAAACCACAGATTAGCATCTTATTTGTAATTTAGGTCCCAGATTGATTGACCCCAGGAGTTCAAGCCCAGCCTGGGCAACATAGCAAGACCTCATCTCTATAAAAATAAAAAAATTAGCCAAGCATCATAGTGCATGCCATTGTCCTAGCTACTCAGGAGGCTGAGATGGGACAATTACTTGAGCCCAGGAGCTTAAAGCTGCAGTAAGTATGACAATGACACTGCACTCCGGCCTCGGCAACAAAGCAAGACTCTGTCTCAGAAAAGAAGAGAAAGGCAAAAGAGTTAAAGACTCAAGCAAAAGTTTCTACATAAGACCAGTTTGTGACAGATAGAGCTGCACAGTTCTCTACCACTCTTTACCTTCACTGTTCACACCCAGATACTTCCACTAGTAAGGGAGACAAGCAGGTTTATACTAGGTGAGCCTTTCCAGAAGAGTACAGCCCAGCCCTTCTTCATCCCAGCCTTAACACACCCAACAACCCATTTCTTCCAACTGCAAAAAAATCTACATGATACTCTTCCTTTTGTACTCAGAGGAGTGTATCCTAGATCCCTAGCTGAGTCTAGCTCAAGGAAGAAAATAAAGAGAGCTCTTTCCTCTTAAAACTTCCACCTGAATCACATACTGTCATCTACCCCTCTCCCCACTCCTGCCCCCCACCTCCACACACACTGGTATTTGAATTGTAATAAGGTAAATGCCTGACAACCTATTCTTCCACAGAATCCCTAGCCTTTCTGTGTCAGTAGCTTCCCTTAGGACCCAAATTTGTGAGCTTTCACTTCACAGGCTGGGTGACTTTCAGACTTTGGCACCCACTTCTATTTAGATATCAAGTATGGTTTCTAAGCAACCAGCCAGCCAGCTCCTCTCCCTCTCACTTCCCCCATCAGGGAGCCAGCTTACTATACTAGCAGAACAGGTCAAACAGAGCTCGATCCTGGACAAATCAGTGCTTGAGGAAACTTCAACAAAACCAAGGAAAAATGTGGTACAAGAACAATGAAGAAGGAGTCTGTTCCAGGCAGTTTAGTCTTGTACAAGTAGAAGAAGGTCATCAAGTCGGTTTTAAAGTTGGATGCAGTTTCAGGCATCATTCCAATCTCTTCACTTTACAAGCAATAAATTCTGAAGCCCAGAGTTTAAAAGACTTGTTCAAGGTCACATTGGAAGCAAAGCTGCAGCTAGAACCCTGGTGTCCAAACTCCCAGGCCAAATCTCCTACTGCTATGCTACATCATACTACCATTAGGAGATTTGAAAAAGAAAAGTAAACTCTGAAGGGTGATTTTTCCATAAATTAAATCAGCTTTAAATCTAGGCATATTTGGAGAATCACAGACTTCTAACACTGTTAGAGAAAAGACAGATTTAAAAGCTGGTTAAATCTAAACAATAAAAAAATCCATATGTACAATACTATAAAAAAGAGAAGGAAGAAGATGGCATTCATGATTACTGGGGCGGCAGGGCAGGGGGCAGTTGCATGCTGGGGTTGGGCTGCATGGGCTGCCAGCTTTCCTGGGTTTGAAGGATGCGGTACAGCTGCTTCAGCTGAGCAACAATGTTATCTTTGATGTCTGGGGTTGAGATCTGCAGGCGGACACTGCCACTATCAAAGGATCGTGTGAAATCACCAGAAAACATCTCGTAGATCATCCGAGCCACTACTGGAATCACCTGTTTGGGACACAGAACATACGTGTAACCTCAGAGGAAAAGGTATTTGTAAATAGCATGATGGACCCAAGATTGAAGGACAGACCAAAGAGGCCCTGAGGAAGACCCTCATTCTACTATCTAAATATAGGATATGCCTTCCTCTCTTTGGACCATCCTCCTGCCAATGCTCACTCTGGAAGTTGGTTCAAATGAAGGTAGAGAACCTAGATGTAGCATTACATCACATGCCTAAATAAATGACAGCTTACTTTGCAAGACTTTTAACAAAATGTCATCTATTGCTTGCCTTGCTACACAACTCCAGGGGCCAAGCCCAAGTGGCCTTGCTGCCACGTCCTAGAACAAATTTATATTCCTAAAAGCAACTCAAAAGGTTTTTCTAAGAAAAGCTGGAAAAGGCCAAGCATGGTGGCTCACACCCATAATCCCAGCATTTCGGGAGGCTGAGGCGGGAGGATAACTTAAGCCCAGAAGTTCAAGACCGGCATGGGCAACATAGTAAGATCTCGTCTCTGCTAAAAATAAAATTAGGCCAGGCATGGTGGCCTGTGCCTGCAGTCCCAGCTACTTGGGAGGCTGAGGTGGGAGGATTGCTCAAGCCTGGGAGGTTGAGGCTCCAGTGGGCTGATATGGCACTACTGCACTCTAGCCTGGGCAACAGAGCAAGACCATGTCTCAAAAAAAAAAAAAAAAAAAGTGCAATTTACATTGTGTGTGTGTATAAATAAAGAAAAGCTGGAAAGGGTCATATCCTGTGAGGTTTCAGCAAGACTCTAAGGTCAGTAAAAGAATGAAAGATAAGATCTCCACTAAATCAGTCACCCACTTTAAGGACCTTGCCTTTTCCAGCATGGCTCCATTGCACAAACCTGAGTCTGTTACCCCACCTGATGAGATTAAAACCTACATGAGCTGATGGATGCTTGATGAAGGCTCAACCCAGACCTGGGGGCTAAAGCACTGGCAAGAAGGAAAAGAGTTGTTGACACAGCCTTATCTTCTCACCTGAACCAAGATAAGTTTCCTTTCCAAGGGTTTCCCATCTGGCCATTCTTCCCCAAAGCATAAGTAGATCTCAAACGGTGGCTGCTTCTCTATCTGTCCTTTCTGGTGGGCAATGAGATCTGCAGAAAGTGGAAGAGCAAGTTTGGTATGCTGGGTCATTCCACATCCACTCAACAAGTACCATCTGTTCCGCTGTCCATTACAATAGCCACTAGCCACATATGCTCACCAATTTTAAATTAATTAAACAGTTCCTGGGTCACATTAGTCATATTTATGTGCTTAATAGCTACACGTGGCTTGTGACAACCATACTGAATAGCACAAACATACTGAATAGTACAAATTTCAGAGGGTTCACTTGGACACCATTGATCACGACTTGGGGTTCAAACCACATTGTAAAAAAGTTACATCTCAGTGCTTTCCCTAAAACTGCCTGCTTGAATTCACCACTCAGATATTTCCCAAAAAAATACGTGCTATTCTGAATATATAACCGATAGGGTTATCTTCCAAAGTTAAAGACAAGCTGGTAACACTTGTCTCCCTCTTCTGCCATTGAAGGAGCCACAACCAACTTAAAAATAGCTTCCAAGTACATAGCCTTGGAGAGAAACTCCCTTCTT